CAACCAATCCCTAACCGATCCCAATTGTTTCTCTTACTATTGACAACACAACATACATCTATTGTTTCTCACCTTTGATCTTTTTTCAAATTTTGTATTTCTTTATTATTATTATTACTACTATTATTACAGTGTTGTTGTTGTTATTATTATTATTACAATTATTAATTTATTATTTTATTTTCAATTTTTTATTTTTTATTATAAATTTTATTTACTATTTATTATTATTATTATTATTATTACATTTTCGCCCCCCAGGCCCTGATATGGGTGTGACCTGTGCCCGGGTGGGCTAATCCCTGTAAAAAAATATTAATAAAATAAAATAAAATAATATAATATAAATAAATAAATAAAATATAAACAATAATTTTTTTAAAATACAATGATAAAATAATAACGACAATACAGTCAACCCTCACTTTACGCGGTCCCACATTCCGTGGTGCCCTGCCGGAACCCAGGATGCTCACATTCCACGGTGCGTGTACCCCTTTACGCGGAGAGCAGCTGGCGAGCTGCGCCATTTTTGGATCCAAACCTCCCGCCATCCGCCATGTTGTGTAAGCGGCGCGAACATGGTGCGCACAAGGTCGACCAGTCATCAAAACATTACCAGTTCTTCACCCGCCACTCACCACAGCCGGCCCAAGTCAGTGATAGTGATAATTATAGTGAGGATATGGTACTTATATGGACTTTGGGGGGTTTGACAAAGAGGCCCTGCAAGCCTCTGTGGTGGATAGTGATACAATTGATACAAGTGATACAGGTGAGGGCCAATAATCTGCCCTCTGCCTCGGAACCAACCGCCCATCCCCGTGTGCCCAGCCATCTTTTCTACTAATATAAGTGTTAAAAAACCTAATATTATTGATATTTCTCTTAATTATTAATTGTGTGTGCATACCATCATAAAGTTAAGATAATATTTTTACTACAACATAGTTGTGTGTCGTCAAAAAGTGGAGTTTGGGGGTCGGCCCGGTCTCTATTTCAATTAATCCCATCTGTTATGTTATTCACTTTACGCGTTTCTCACTTTCCGCGGTACCCTGTAGGTTACATTAACCGAGTAAAGTGAGGGTTGACTGTAATAATAATTATGGAATAATAATAATAATAATAATAATAATAATAATAAAAATAATAAAGAACCATAAAGAAATATAAAAATGAAAAAAAAAGATCAAAAGTGAGAAACAATATACATTATGTATGTTGTGTTGTCAATAGTAAGAGAAACAATTGAGACCCTGCAATTGTGTGTAAATGAGGCAGAAAGTCAGATCAGCAACCTGGGACTTGGTCACAATTTTTGTGATGCCATACGGCAGCCGGGTCTACCATTAGACAATATATTATACTTCCAATATCTCCCAGGCGGTAGTACCTCCCTGTTTGGTAGCTGCTTACTGCCAATTAAAATAGTTCTATCCTAGGATAAGTAGGTTAGTTAAGATTTGTTGGTTCATCTTAGTTACAATAAATCATAAGACAATGTAATAATAATGACATTTCTGCAAGTGATTTGTATTGTGAAAGGATGGTGATTAAAAAAATTGCAAATCCTTCTATATTTAATTATCAATAACTGTCCTTTTTTGGTATATCAGTATTCTTAACATACGAAAGAATAATCTATTATCAGTGTATATATATAAAAAACAATACAAAACTTCCTGCTGCTGCTGCTGTCGTTTCTCAGTTAACATGGAACAGAATGGTGTTACAATACTATGCATGTCAATGAAATGTTCGGACTCCTCTTAATCCTGTTCACATAAACAAAGATGGTGCCCTCTTCATGTGGTAGTAGCAGTTCCTTTATTTACAATGAAAACTGGGGACAAAACCTGAATACCAAGAGCTATTCCTCCACTTAATTTGCTTTATTCTTGATGAATAAAATAAGACTTCAAATTGTTAGATGGCTACTTAACCTGGACCATAATCTTTAAATACTACCTTTCACTCACTTTATGTGCATACAGTACCAGTGTTTATAAATACAGTACTTAAAATTGTTAAACTGATTTTTCAGGTTAAGATTGATTTTATTGACATTCGCATTTCCTGTAGAAAAAGTTAATATTTTGCCATTTGGACTTTAGAAATAGGTTACGTTACCTTTCAACATTCTTGGAGTCATTATTTTGTTGGAAGTAATGTCGGAAGTTGAATTATTTACCATAAATACTTCTCTGAAAAATCAGCGAAGTTGCTGCGTGTCGTTTATTTGTTTTAACTGACCCGCTCAGTTAAATTACACCATGACGCTTGGATTAAGTTTCTTTCATTGGTATCCGATATCAAAATAAGTACTTCCTGTTTAAAGCGTAGGGGTCCAGAGGGCAGAGGAAGTTAGGTAAGGTCAGGTATGTTTCTTTGGTTGGTTGGTTAGTTCTATATGTATTTGACATGTAAAATCATCATTTCCTTGAAACCACAAATTTCCTAAGGAAATGAAGGTCATATTTAAAAAATAAAATAAAAATACACCAAAAAAATACGTATTCGTGTAAAAAAACATGATCGCCCTAAACAAATATAGTTATACACTAAGTCCGCGCTCAACGTTGTTTTGGTGCTACGTCGCTAAATTTTAGAGACCAAAAATTTGTTTAACGCTCTGGTGATCCGATACTACGTACGTCGTTTTGTGTCGTCACGGACTACTTTCTACGGCGCACCACTCTCTCCCGTCTGGCTCGGAGCAGTCTCAGTGACTCACCACCCTCCACTCCCACCCTCCTCTTCCAATCCCACCCTTCTCTTCCACTCCCACCCTCCTCCTCCGCTCCTGCCATACTCCATCCCCTCCCGCCAACCGCCTCCTTTGCTCCACTACCCACCACACACTCGCTCTACCACCTCCGCCCATCGGTGAGTACCAATACAAACTTAGTACATAGTTGTATATGTATGCATTATCTTCTATAGAAATGACAATGATTTTCTGTATATGAAATGTATTTCACGGGTCAAAGGGAGGCTCAGGAACGTAACTCCCGTATTTTATCTATTTCTTATGGGAAAAATTGATCCGCTTAACGTTGTTTCGTACAACATCGCATTTTTAGGAACATAACCCCGACGTTAAGTGAGGACTTATTGTATACCATTTTCCAAACTGCTTAGACTGACACAACAGAGCTTGGTACTTAAAGGCCCGTATTTTTTTTAGAAGTTGTCTATTATGTCCCACAATATTTTTGGTTTCAGTTCTAGGTATATCTCATCATTTCTAACAACAGACTGTATTATATCACTTGTTGTCACTACACGAACCTCGGAAATTTTATAGTTCCATTCAGTAGTTTTGACAATTCAAAGACACCTTTCTTCAATAAAATTTCTGGCACAAATTACGTATAAGTGAGACATTTAACAATTTATTATGTATGTTCTTACGTGGCGGTACACAAGCAAAACTTTGAACGACTGTGGAGCTCCCCAGTTAAGTTAGTTTAGGTTAGGGTTTTGTTTTTCCGGTGGTTTTCGATGTGTTTTGAACACCTTTTACCTTGATTTTTATAGCAAATCTCTAGATTCTGAGATGGGAGGGGGCTAATCTCAGAAACTGTTGATTTGTGCCAGAAATGAAGGTTAAATTCGTTCACACATCAAAACTATTGGAAAAACATTGTTTCAACTTCAATTTCATATAGTGGCAACAAGTGAAATTTTACCCTCTCTTAGTTACATTTCCGGGTTAATATTGGTGACTTACCCGCAGACAAGTTATTTGTTTTATTGTTTATATTCTTACTTTATTTTCATCAGTGAGTTCTGATGTGGTAATCATTTCTTGAGCAAATGCTTCATTTGGTAGATAATTAGGCGCATAGGCACACACTACCTTGTCTCCTCGGAGGTAATAAGGACACGCTCTAGAGAGGAGTCGTCTCTTCCCCGTGGCAGTTTCATTTTCAGCATGACATGTGAAGGTTTTCACCGGTCTTATATGGATGTAATTTGCTAATTTAGGGATAAAGACGAGACCCTTCAGTTTTTGAAAGACCACGGCATCGTTCCTTTAAGTGGAAAGTATTGTTCACAGCAATACTGTGAAATTGTACTGGGTTTGTGTGCTAAATCAGTTGTTGATTGGAAACAATCATTCATCACTTCCTCGACGCCGTGGCTCGTGTTTCCCGCCATCTCAATAACATATCACTCCGCAGCCTGGACTGCATAAGCCTCGATACTGCCGGATGGTCACGGGTCCAGAAAAAACCTCAAATTACACCATATCTTAGTAAGTTCTTTCTGTTTAATATACCAGGGGATCCTAAGGAAGTTAGGTAAGGTTAAGTAGGTTTGTTTGGCTGGGTTGGCGAGGTCTGTTTTTCATACCCACTAAGGTTAGGTTTCGTTTATTTTAAGAAATAAACATCTTTAACACATTTGCACAAACTTCAACAGCGTACACTATAAAAACTGTAAAATTGGGGCGTTTTTAAAAACTTTTCTATGAATTTCGGCCGTGGGTTAGTCATCAATAATTTGTTAAATTATGGGCAACTTGTAAAAATTTACCAAAGACCGATATCAATTCAGTCATCAATGGTCCAGTCCAAAAGGTCTCAGTGATAATAGAGTAGGGTCAAGCCCGATTAACATTCAGCCTAAGAACTTGTGAGACCTTTATGTACCGAGGGAGCTTATTACCTGACCCTTTAATGAAACAAATATATTTATCAAAGTTAGACAGAAACGCAGTAAATCCCTCCCATATCAAACTTAAAGCGAATCAACTGTGCTCAAAACAAAGCAGTAAAAATGTATATTCAACTTCGCCATTATCACGTTGGCTTCTCGGGAGAAACTTGCAAATATGTACTAAATAAGTGGCTATATTTACCTCCAATCAGTACTTGCATAATCACAAGAGCATTAACATTTCACAACGAGCTCCTAAAATAACGATAACATGAACATACAAGCAATATAACTGAAAAATAGAACAGAGAACACCAACTTATGATACTCACCACTCAGCTTTTGTTTACGTTTTCGAAGCAACATGTGAGGCGTTTGATGGTAAGGAAACATAATAACAATAATACTCCCCGAGGAAAATAACCATCATAACTTACATACTTCTCGACTTGTATAAATTTTGTTATTATATTCCAGAACAGAAGAGACCATACATACTATTTTGTTAATAAATAAGCATTGTACTGTTTATTTGATTGAATCTTGAATGTTAGTTCCTTTATGTTTGGTAATGGATTCCCAAAGATTCTTACGTTAAATTTTCCTCCTAAATGAGGCGCGAACACCTATAATCATCTTGCGTAAACCAAGTCATGAAGATATAAAGATCAATGATGTCAATATTGGATTTTATAAGGTATCACATATGTGTTTTCTTATCCATAATTATAAGAATGAAAAAGATACGAAGCTTTGTGAATCTTGGCGATGTTCAAGGGCAAACATCGCTCGGTGAACCCTGGCTGACACAATTACCAACCTCCCCAAGCGTCACTTCTGCAACTGTTTCATAATATATTTTATAGAAAACAATGAACGTTTTTATCAACTTCACAAATAAAATTTAAGTCAGATAAACCACTTGAAAATATAAAGGTATCAAATCTCACATCTGGGAATTATATTACAGCTGAGGGCGATGATAAATCGTGACTGGAATGTTGGCTAACCCGTAAAGCCCCGGATAAGGGTGGATATGCGCGTGCGCCGCGGTGAAGTATTTTCCCGCCGTGTAGCCCCCGTGGAAGACTGCTACTGCTGCTGCTCTTAGCCAATAATGGCAACCTCAGCACATGTGGTTGCCAACGTTTCAGCTAAATCTAAATCTTCCTGTAAAAGTTAACTAGCCAAAGACTGAAGTTCTACATTTTGTTTTAATGAATATGGTGATGGTGCAGCAGTAGTGTGCTTAAGCATCCACTGTTAGGTTAAAGTTATGTTAGGTTAAGATTATATTAGGTTAAGATTATATTAGGTTAAGGTTATGTTAGGTTGAAGTTATGTTAGGTTAAGGTTATGCTCGGTTAAGATTATATTAGGTTAAGGTTATGTTAGGTTAAAGTTATGTTAGGCTAAAGGTATGTTAGGCTAAAGGTATGTTAGGTTAAAGTTATGTTAGGGTAAGTTATGTTAGGCTAAAGTTATGCTGGGTAAGGTTATGTTAGGTTAAGGTTATGTTAGGTTAAAGTTTTGTTAGGCTAAAGTTATGTTAGGTTAAGGTTATGTTTGGCTAAAGTTATGTTAGGCTAAAGTTATGTTAGGTTAAGGTTATGTTAGGCTAAAGTTATGTTAGGTTAAAGTTATGTTTGGTTAAAGTTATGTTCGGCTTAAGTTATGTTAGGTTAAAGTTATGCTGGTTAAGGTTATGTTAGGCTAAAGTTATGTTAGGTTAAAGTTATGTAAGGTTAATGTTATGTTAGGCTAAAGTTATGTAAGGTTAAAGTTATGTTAGGTTAAAGAAATGTTAGGTTAAAGTTATGTTAGTTTAAACTTATGTTAGGCTAAAGTTAGGTTTAAGGTTATGTTAGGTTAAAGTTATTTTCGGTTAACGTTATATTAGGTTAAGATTATGTTAGGTTAAAGTTATGTTAGTTTAAGGTTATGTGCGGTTAAGATTATATTATTTTAATATTATATTAGGTTAAGATTCTGTTAGATTAAGGTTATGTTAGGCTAATGTTATGTTAGGTTAAAGTTATGTAAAGCTAAAGTTTTGTTGGGTTAAGATAATTATGATAGCTTAAGGTTATGTTAGCTTAAGGTTATGTTAGCTTAAGGTTATGTTAGGTTGAAGTTATGTTAGATTAAGGTTATGTTAAGCTAAAGTTATATTGGGTTAAGGTTATCTTAGGTTGAAATTATGTTAGGTTGAAGTTATGTTAGGTTAAAGTTATGTTAGGTTAAAGTTATGTTAGGTTAAAGTTATATTGGGTTAAGATAATTATGTTAGCTTAAGGTTAAGTTCAGTTAAGGTTATGTTATGTTGAAGTTATGTTAGATTAAGGTTATGTTAGCGTAAGGTTATTTTAGGTTGAAGTTGTGTTAGGTTAAGGTTATCTTAGGTTGAAGTTATGTTAGGTTAAAGTTATGTTAGGTTAAGATAATTATGTTAGCTTAAGGTTATGTTAAGCTAAAGTTGTGTTGGGTTAAGATTTTGTTAGGTTGAAGTTATGTGAGATTAAAGTTAAGTTATGCTAATGGTACATTGTTTTTTTTTGTTTTACGGGGGATTTGCCCACCTGGCAATAATTTCACTGACTACATCGGGTCCTGGGGAACAACAACAACAACAACATACAACAACAACAACAACAACAACAAATAACAACAACAACAACAACAACAACAACAACAACAACAACAACAACAACAACAACAACAACAACAACAACAACAACAAAACAACAACAAACAACAACAACAAATAACAACAACAACAACAACAACAACAACAACAACAACAACAACAACAACAACAACAACAACAACAACAACAACAACAACAACAACAACAACAACAACAACAACAACAACAACAACAACAACAACAACAACAACAACAACAACAACAACAACAACACAACAACAACAACAACAACAACAACAACAACAACAACAACAACAACAACAACAACAACAACAACAACAACAACAACAACTCTAACAACAACTAACTCTACAGTGAGAAACGACATTCGTCTATTGTGTTGTCAAGGTAAGGGAAACAATTGAGCCCTGCAATTGTGTGTAAATGAGACAGAAAGTCAGATCAGCAGCAAAACCTGGGACTCGGTCACAATTTTTGTGATGCCATATGGCAGCAGGGTCTACCATTAGACAACACATTATGCTTCCAATTTCTTCCCAGGCGTAAGTACCTCCCTGTTTGATAGCTGTTGACTACTACTTACCAAGGATAAGAGACAGTAAGGATAGTTCACCGAGCACTTGTTTTACCCACAGAACCAGGGGGCAACGGGACATCCGCCAACCGCTCTACCTCCTACCCAGGAGGAGGCGAGCACCATGTAAACAATGTCATCTCTAACCACACCCTACAAACCAGGGATGCAATAAACGAGGCAAATGCAGATAATAGAGGAGGGCCGGAGACAATACCAAGACCAGAGACATTATAGGGGACAATTTCCGGCTTGAAAGTCATCTAAACTAATAATGACGCGTTCAGGGCCGGATTCAGGAGTGGGCAAAGTGGGCAGCTGCCCAGGGGCCTCCACAATCTGGGGGCCTAAACATATTACTGTACAATATTTTATTTATTTGTTTATTCATTTGGATTATTTTTATTTTTATTCTTTAAAATTCATGGGAATTTGTACACTATCAATAAATATACAGTTAATTAAAAATTTCTCAATGTTCTGAATTCCTCAGTATAACTGCATGTGGCTTCAAAATTCAACAAAGAAGTGTTCAAATTTCAAAATTTTCCCGGGGGGGGGGGGGCTACTGTTCAGCGCCCCCCGGAACTCCCAGATGTTTAGGCTCGCTTCACCCGCCACCCCACCCTCTTGGGTACTTATAATGAGGGGGGCCTCCACAAAGAGGCTGCCCATGGGCCTCCACAGGTCTAAATCCGGCACTGGACACGTTTTTCGACAAGAGAGCGGAGTTTGTAACACTACTGAGGGTACATCAACCCAATATAGTAGATGTTGTAGAACTGTTGTACAAAAATAGGAGAATCGAACCGGAGGAATGTGAGTTCAATATAGATGTATATGACTCATTTACAAAAATGTCCCAAGAAACTTGCAAGAGGGGTGTGGTTATCTATGCAGGCAAGACCTTAGAGCCAGTGTATGTGGCCAGTTGTCTAATTTCTTTTTGTGTTTGTCTATTTTCTCTGCTTAAGAGCGTGGTGCTGTCTCCCTTAACGAATCGAATCGATGGGTGAAGTAAAGTGTGAAGAGATCTTGATGCTGGTGCGTAGATTGGTGGTGCGGAAACTGGACTTGAAGAATGATGGTGGAGTTTGGAGGGACTTGGGGTTGGTGTATAGTGCAAGAAGAAAGGCGAGGAAATTTGGAAGTAGTAGTTGGGTGCTAGGTCTTGGGGCTCAACCCAAGTGCTTCTGTTTTCTCATGTTTGTGTTTCAGCTAATTTTCGTCTTAGGTGTTATATTTATGTTATGTGTTTGTATGTTTAACGAGTGTTGCAATTTTATGCCTTACATTTTCGGGTCTTGTGTCCTAGCCAATGGTGGGGAGTCTAGGACAGGTACTTGTGTTTCTGCTAAGAACATCTCGTCTTTTTATGATCTAATGTTGTAAGTGGTAGGGCTACCAAGGTTGTCACTGGGGTAACGTTGCATCTTTCAATAGAGTGGAGTTGGTGTGGGTTCTAGGGCTCTTCTTTTACTGCGAGGGAACCACGAGTGTTCTCTTCTTCCTTCTTCTGTCTCTTCCATCCATTCTGTGATTGGTCCTGGCTCTATTTCTTCTAACTTTGTCCATATTCTTTTTGATTGTTGGTGTAGGTAAACGTTTAGGGGTTCTATTTGCGCTCGTTGGTGTAGTTGACGGTTGGTGACTATGTCAGGATATCTGATGTTGTATACATCCCTTAGGGCTAAGTTTGGAATTGTCTGCAGTTTCTTTATGTTTGTTTGTTTTATTGCATGTAGGGGAATTGGTGGATATACTAGTCGGGATTGGATATAGGCTCTATATAACTTTAACTTGTTTTTTGCTGACAGGTTTCTCAAACATTTTAATTTAATTATGTTTCTGGTTTTTGCTAGTTTTTCGGTGATGAATGTTTTGTAGCCTTTTGTTGTTATCTTCAGCCCTAGGACAGTGCCTTCCATGGCATATGGAATCAATTTGTTGTCTACTATAATGTTTTTTTTTTCCTTTTAGCGATTGGTATTATTTTGAACTTGTTGGTGTTCGTTTGTATCCTCCACATTTTTTCGTACTGGTTGATGTTCTCTATTGCGTTGGCAGTATGTTGTGCCATTATTGCTGTTGATTTGCCGGGTTATGTGATGATTTGTGTGATATCGTCTGCAAAACGT